ACCAAGAACCTGGTGTTTATATCTTTAATTAAGTCTGGTAGTTTGATGATAAAGTGTTCATTGTTTTGGGGAATTATGTTCCGATTTAATTAGTACATCAAAATTGTTGTAACACTCACGGGGATTAAAATATTTTGAAATTTAGAATGTATGACATTTTATGGCTTGATTTAGATTGAAGCCATCTTTATAAGAATAAATAAAGGCACAGAAAAAAGAAAAAGGAAAAATAGTAGCCTCATTCAAATTACCACAAATTGTCGTATTCCCTTTGTTTCATTACAAATTACAATTGAGTTTTTGCTGTTGCACAAGAATTTCTGATTTAGATTATGGCATGCTTTTTGTTTTCCTAATGAAATGTTGAAGGCGGCTAATGGAAAGTTCAAGTGACTGTACTTCCAAAACTAATTGGCATTTCATACTATGTCATTCCTTTCCATTTAAAATAAAAATGTGAGATTAAGGATAAGACATTGAGTTTAAATGTTGTATGGAGGTCATGATTAAAGTATAATCTAAAAAAAGTAGTATTGGAGTATGATGATGCTAATCATTAAGTAAATGGAATGCCTTGGAGATGTGCTACTGATATGTCGTAGATTGACTGGTAAAAGATAGAATTCAATAGTTCAAGGGTGATAAAGCGCATTGCCTTGGCTGCCATTTCAATATCCATTTATAACCTGAAATTGTAGCATCAAATGACCTTAACATGATGGTTTGAATTGATTGGTTGGATGTCACATCTCAATCCTAAAGTGCCTTTGTCTCTTCGATCCTTGCACGTTTCATTTGTTTCTTTGAAGGCATAATTTGGTTTTTGCTAGGTTTAATCTCCCTCTACTATATTTCCATAACATGGCTTATGAACCTAATAGTTCTGTAATTCTCTCAGTGCAGAAAATTTCTTTTATTTTTGTAAGCAGAGAACATAATTCTCATTCTCTGTTCACTTGACATTTTTTAACTCTTTTAATCTCATTAAACAATTATGTCAACCATGCATAGCCACCTTGCCTGACCACTTGCAGAGTTCTATAGATTCCACTCTGTAAAATGTAGACCAACACTTTGCACCAAGAAT